CCACGTTCATTTTGAGTAAGCAAAAGGAAAAACAATTTTCGCAAAACCATGACTAAAGACAAACAAAACAAACTTCTCGAAAAAACTTTCAATTTTTTTTTTTGTAGTTTTTTGAATTTTTGAAACCGCTAAAGTTCTCAAAAAGCTAATTTTATTCGAGTAAAACTACGTTTTCACCCAAATTAAGTGATTGTAGGCTTCTAAGCCCTGGAATTAAGAAGCTTTTAAGAACCTGCTAGCTTGCTTTATTCGCTCGAATTAAGACGAAAAAACAAAAATTCAAACCGGTTTTTCTCGACACTGGGAAACCAAACAACGGTCAACAAAAAATAGTTGACATTTCCAAGAGTCGTAGCTTTTTATTAGAAAACGTTGGGCTTAGCTTTTATGCAGAAGAAAATCGCTTAAACTGTAATTTCAATTCAACCAAAAACCCAGGTTTGGTAGGGTAGTTATTGAGAGAATTCAAAAAGCTTTAAAAAACGGTCAAGAATTCAAAATTTTGACTTTTCCCAAGGTCATAACTTTTGTGTCAAAAAATTGAGCGTAGTCGCATAGCAGACGCTAAGGAGCTTCCAACAAACCGTATTTGGATTGAACGCAAAAAAAATTCCAGTTATGGAAGGATGTTCTTCGATAAAACTCAAACAAATTTAGAAAAAAAAGACCCAAAAAATCAAAAAAAAATTAACTTCTCAGGGGACGACAATTTTTTGTGTAAAGAATTTTGTGAGTGGCAGCTAATTTCGGGGAGCTTCCCCTTACCAGTTATCTACATTCAACTCACAACCTCAGGTTGTGGAGGTTAAATTTCGAGAAAAATCTAAAAATAAAAAAAATCAACAAAATCGACAAAATATTCCCCCTACAGACTTTTTGAGAAAATGAAATGAAGTCAAAAATAAGGTCAACAAATTCGATCAAATGTTCCCTCACAGATTTTCTCTGGATGTCTTTTTTCTGAAAATTGGTAGAAAGGTGTTTGAAGAAAAACTGAATTTTGGCAGAAGGTGATGAAGTTTGCAAGCGTCGCAGAAGAGTGAAATGAAAAATTTCTTTTCTCTTTTCACAAAAGCTATTTTTATATAGATACACAAAAAAGACAATTGGATATATAACTTTTTATAATCCATACTCAGGACTATCATACACACGTAGCTTTTAAAGATACTAATTTTTCAGACCCTTTCCTTTGTTAATTTCTCAAAACCCGATCATAAAAACCCCTCCCCCGAACAGGACTCCAGGATTTACTAGTCAAATACTATGACTGTGAGGAAAATGAACGAAAAACATTACATAAATATGCAGTAAATCAAGTCACTCAATGCGAATCCGAACCACAATCAATAGAAACAACAAACATAATAGCTACACTTTACTCAAAAGCACGAGCTACAACACTAACAAGATACAAATTCACAGCGACATTTTCCGAAAAGAAAGTACATTGTTCCCAAGTATCAAACGGAAATAAAAATAGACTAGATCATGAATTTTTCTACCAAAGTAATATCGAATGACTTTTACATCTCAGCCCTGACGATTGTTAAAATGAACTTAAACGATTAAAAATTACATCAAACAAAGGCACAAAGAGAAAATTGGTAAACTTTCAAGTTTTTCCAGACTCTGCACATCAAGCCGTACTTGAAAGATACCAAGGTCATATGAAACTAGACGACAAATTTCCACGCCACTGAGCTCATGGAAGATTAATTTACGATCTCCATGATAAAAATTGGATACCACACATCGGAACAAACAATCCCTCAAATTGCAAAGCAGACACTAAAAATAAAGGATACCAAGAAATATTGTTTTTTGATTGGAAAATACAACTTGAAAAAGTACAATTAACACGAGATTTAAACGATGACAACATAATTTATCAAGGAATCAATTTCCTTTGCAAAAATGACCAAGGATGCTGCGATCCCACTACACGAACACAAGCAAAAATTGTTTGGTTTCCTGAAGACACATGTACCACATTTCAAGTAGCAAAAACACACGCTAAAATGATCAAATTTCACCAAAATTACTCTTTTGAATCAATCCCTTATGAAGACGTGAATCCTGATAAAATCAGACAAAGTAATTATAAATTTAGAAACATTCATAATATAGAAAATAAATTGACACGTTTCCAAGTTTACCCAGAAACAGAACTTGCATGTGAATACAACAAACCACTTTCTAAAACGCAAAATTTAGAAATTCTTGTCGAATACGATCAAGTTTTTGACTTGAATACAGGAAGATTAATCATACATCCACATGCAACACATTATTCAACCAGTGACGAAAACTCATACATCCCAGTAAACCTCCTAAGAACACAGGAAACATTGGTGGAAAAGAAAACCACAAGACAAAGACAGTACACATTTACAAGATCTATCACTAATGAACAACACTCATTGTGGCGCAATTCGTTATGACATACACCTAGACATGAAACTAGACTATACAATAAGAAAAATTTTTCAAGAATTGTCTTTAACAGAACTTGTTAAAGACCTCACCATTCTTTCCTAACTTCACTTATTGTGTTAAAGACACTAACCTACAAGGCATTATCCGCAATTATGATCCCATCAGCCAGATGTATATATTCTGTCCCTTAACTAAAATCTTCAACGTAGACGAATCCCGCCCACTAATCGTCCCACACGAATTCCTATAGCCCGTTGAAATCCCGATCCTAGAATTCATCCATAACACCAGATATAATCATAAACTTTATAACCTCATTAAAAGAACACCTAATGAACTCTCACCTAGCATTGAAGAGCGCAACATCATTAAAGCACTCGAATTGTTTTGGCCACTTCTTCAAACTAAATGCATCATTCGTTTGATAGCTAAATTACCAACATCATCAGAAATCATTCACGACGTTTTTCACGACGGATTTCTCACAGACGAATAGGTAAAATGAATTAAATAAATTATCCTAATAAATTCGAACAAAAACTAACCGTTATTTATAAATGTTTTCTTTTTTTTCTATAGTCTTCACAGGCACGATCATCAATCATCTACAAAAAAGAAAACTTTTTTCAAGTATAAATTTCTATTAACCAATTTCAATAAATGAAACAGTAAAATGTTCCCCCAAAACAGCAATAAATTATAATATAAATTCTTTTCCCATATGCAGTATTTATTCTTACAATGAAAAATAAACTGATAATTTCAACCCCCCAAATAAAGCAGTAAAATTAATAATTTCAAAAGTAAATTAAATTAAAAATGCCTATAAAATTAAAGCAGTACTAACCTTTTCAAAGACGCTTCTTTATAGTTTTAAACATTCACTCGCCCACAATTCTATCCACAATCGCACAGCTCGCCAACTGTATTCAAGTCAAAAACTTGATCGTATTCGACAAGAATTTCTGAATTTTGCGTTTTAGAAAGTGGTTTGTTGTATTAGAACAATGATTTTAAGTTTTAACTTTCACTGATAACAACTCTAACCAGTTTTCACACATTTCAAACTTTCCTTTAACGCGGTTGGAAAGGAATTATATATTAATCCAAACTAATCAACGCAAGCGTACTAAACACAACCTAACAGCATGATTAAGAAAAGAAAACCCACGGTACCCAAACTGAACTAACACCAGCTTAGAACTGGATAAACTATTCTTTTGAAGACTACTTTCAAGTCTGAACACAAAAGAACAAAACACAAAAAAGTCAAAAATTAAACCCAAAACAAACTATTTGAATTTTGAAGAAAAAACACAATCAAGGCAAAAAATAAAAAGAAAAAACCAGTAATAAAAAATGTACGAAAGGTTGAACACAAACAGGACCCTCCAAAAAAGAGAGCATGAATTTATACTCCCACTCCTGGCCTAACCCACCAGAGAGAACGTCCTGAGCATGCTCTATAGCCGGCCTAACCCACCGTGCTACACCCACGCTTTGTGACACACACTCTATTTTTGACGAGAGTTACTCAAAGGTGAGTAGCTCTTAAAAATAACCGAACTAAACAATAACGCTTTTGCGAAAAAAACTAATACAGGATCATAACCAAAAACATGATTAACAAAGATTTGCATATGTAAATAATACAATGCAGTATATAGATAACATACAGCCCAAAAACGAGCAGCAAGGAACTTGACACACCAATCACACTCCAACTACGGAATGGCAAAACACACCCGACAACCTGCCTACAGTCACTTCACTCAACGGATTTAAAGTACGACTTGGCATCGCAGCAAAGGAAACACATTGCAACCGAACAATGGCCATCTCGATGTTCAAGTATACGTACAGATCCAAGTCACCAGGCACAGCATCCAAAGTTAAACTACATGCCACTTCCGAACGAGATTGGAACATTGCTATTCTATAATCAAACAAATCAACACTTATCACAACCGATCAGAAGTCATAATACGATCTCGCGAAACGATCGTGATAACAACTCTTCTTCCAAATCAGAAAGAAGAATATGCTCACAATTTCTAAAAGAAAGACACCTTCATCCATCCTCCACTACAATAGATCACTGAAGAACTAAAACTCTCTAAACCCCGGATGGGTGGAACCAGATCTAAACTAGAATTTATTATTGGATATTATTCTGATATTTTATCTCTATAAAATATTGAGTACTAACCAATCATACTCCATCAAACTAACAACCCTCTTATTTGTAAGTGTTGAAACTACTTGTAGTTTCAACACCAGAACAATTTGAATTAAGCTTAGAATACAGTTGTTCTCATTCTGCAACTAACTCGCATAAACCGGTGTACACTAGTTCTATTAAAACTAGGAGATATAAGAGTAGATTAAGATTGGTATTAGACTAAGAAGTTGCACAAATCTATCCGGCCGAAAATAAGATAGCGTGACGAGCAGACGGTGTACTTTATCTGAAATTACTCTATGAGTATACCCAAAAGGATATAACTCAACAGATACTCACATATACACACGACATGTATGGAAAATGCTAATCAGCTCACCATAACAGTAAGAGATCCAGCTCTGATCTTCCATTTGATCAGTAGGTAGTCCCAGTATCCGTACGATATGTAGTCGAACATATTCCAGGGGGTGGTTGTTCTGATACCCCCCTCACCCATTCCCTCTGCTCCTGTTGTTGTCCAATTATACCCCCCTATCATTGTCTCGTTATCCATGCGGACTTCCCGGGTGCTGTTTTTCTATTTCAAACACAAACTTAAGATCAAATCGACAAAGTCTTTGAGGACTGAGTATTTTAATTAAGTTTTCAGCTTAAAAAAAGTTTAAAATAAGAGAAGTAATTTACAAACATCACCGACAATGTTCCCAAAGTGCTTTTTTGTGACCAAATTGCCAAAAATATTTGTTTGATTGTTTCAAAAAAACTTGTCAAATACTGTCACGGAGCTCATTTTTTTTGTGACTTCTTCATATTTTAGCGGTAAATGTGAAAAAATTTACCTGAAGCTGCAAATTTTCTCTATAACTTCCAATTACAGCTTAAAGACCGAAATTTAAAACTTGTCGATACAGTTAGATGGAATTAACTGAGAATTTGAGTCGATATTAGTCAATATCAAATTGAGTTTTCTCTTAATGAGTTAATTTGAATGAAAGAAAATTCAAAAAATGGAAATTACGTTTTGATTATTTAATTCAGCTCATATCTGCAAAATTAGCATTTTCATTGATTTTAAACACGAAACATAAAATAACGGAAGGTATACCTAGATGTAATTTCACAAAAACATGCTCTAACTAAAAAATTGCCAAAAGTCGTAACTTTTCAAATCGTTTAACCCTAAAAACTGGCCAAGTATAGATGGTTTTTCTAATTATGACGGTCCGTTAGGTATAGACTTCACAAATTATAATTTATGAAGCAAGCATAAACTTTTGCAGTTTTTTTTTTAGCGAAAATCAGTTTTTGGTTCAAACCAATACAGGTCGGGGGTGCGGTTGATCCAGGCACGGATCTAGGAATTTCTTGAGAGTAGGGGGGGGGGCAGATTTTGAAAAAAAAACGTTGAAACTTTTGTCGACCTTTTTTTAGGTCGACCAATTTGATTTTCTTAGCTATAAAGACATAAAGACCCTAATTTAACCAAATTGCATTTTTCTGAGAAATGTTTTTTTAGGCGCCAAAGGCGCCTTTTGAAAAAATTTAATGTCAGTCAGCCAAAAACGTACATCTCATAATAGTACAAAGGAGGACCCTTTGGGTCGGCAGGGGGTCGAATCCCTGAGAGTAAGAAGGCGTCCTCCCCCCCTCCCCCACTCCTAAATCCATCCACTGGTGGATGCTGCTATTGTTAATAAAGTCAAGTTATAGGATTAAGGGAAACGGTGGTTAAGTGATTACATCTCCGCCTCTCAATCGAAAGGTCGGTTGTGCAGGCCCATCATGATCTGTGATTGTTGGTTGAGGGTCAGGCAAGATTACCCAGCCCAAAAAATAACCAAAACTAATGCATGTAGTTCTCAAGCAGGAACACAATTGCGGTTCTCCGTGATGAGCTGAACAGCTGGTATATTGGTCCTTTCTCTTATGAATGAATAGTGTTAACTTAACATTTGTTAACATTTTAATGAGCTTTATGTTTTGGTACAATTGGTAGCAGGCTTAAACCTGGTTCCAGTCGCGCAATGATTCGTGATGGTCGCTTAATGGTGAAAAACAATCTAAGCCTAGAAAATAACCAAGTAGAGATCCAGTCCCCCAAAAAATAGTGCACATTTCACACAAAATTGAACCAAATTTTTGAGCCCAAAATTTTTACCCCAAACATTGATTTCGTTTGAACTTTTAGTCAATCAGAAATTGCGCTGAAACTGCATGTCAATTGCTGAGCTTATTATATCAAAGTAAGCTTCTTATTAAGTCAAAAAAATTTAACAAGGGTATAAACTTTTTGCATATGCATAGAAAAATAACTTTTGTTCAATATTCAAAATCGTTTTTTTTTACCGAATCAAATTGGTATACTTTATTCGAAATCACTTTTTGAACATTTTACAAAGACTCCGGCGTGGAACCGTTTGGTTTTTGGAACCAAAATGGCTCAAATTGATATAGCTTTAGTCTTGGTGTAATTTTTATTGACCTTAATTGTAACTAAATTTTGCAAATATGGTTGTTACGTCTGGATAAATTAATTTAACATTTTTTGAATTACAAATTCACCAATTACAAAATTCATCATTTACAGATTTCACCAAATACAAAAAACTGAACATTTAAATTAGCTACGAAAAAAATTAAGAAACTAGAAAGATGGAGTCAATTACTGGCATGGTTTCAGATTTTGTTCTTCAAGATGATGAACTACTCAAAACAAAAAATAACTTCTTTTTATTTGAAAAGAAACAATTTTCTATTTCAAAAAGCACCCTTAGGAAACGTGTTATGACAAGCTGATCACAGAGTGCTTGTTAGTCTGTGAGACCTTTGAGATGGTTTTCGCTTCCAACTCATTTAACGTATGAACTACTTGATTTTCACAACTTAAGAATATTTTAAAAAAAAAAAAAACAATTTTTTAACAATCGCGCATTGCTGTTTTCTTGATTTTTTTTCCCATCAATTGCATATTTATCATCTAGCGAAAATTTTGCAGCTTTAGATAACTTCAAACCACAGAGACATCAGAAGATTTTGATTCCAGCAGGACAGCGCCACATATCACACTAGCCAACCTACCGTGTTTGCCATAATTTATTTGTTACAAGGTGATTTGTTAAAGCGTGTTTGCCAAAATTGATTTGTTACAAGGAGCGAAATCTATTGTTTTGTACTTTATATGGCGTGTGGGGGGATGATTTTTATAGAAAAAAATTCAAATTTTAGAAAAAAGTTTTCGTTTTATTTTATTTTATTTTTTTATGTTGTTTATGATATTACTGCTCCATAAACTTTAAAGGCAGTCGGAACATTCAGGGCTTCACCCTGATACGAGCAGTCTTGTTAGATTTCATGAAAAGAAAGAACTTATTGGCCTTACCCAAAGTCCAAATCTGAACTCTTTAAAATACCAGTTTTGGGGTTTCTTTTTTTATCGATTCACCGCGGTAAATCTCGGACATTTGACAAACTGATAAAATGAATCAAAATTTGTGCTGTTGGGCCAAACGGAATTAAGTTTCAGCAACCACAGCGTCGGTTTGCAAGCACATGATAGCAAAAAATCCAAATATTTCCATCTATATCGTGCAAAATGATGCATACGAGTTAATACAGTTGGAAATGACAGCCTTTTAAAAAGTCCCGTATGACAAAACCTGCTTTTAGGACATTGCAAGGGCCACATTTCATGATGCTTTGTCTTTTATTTACAAGTTTTCATTTTTGATTTTATTCATTTTTATTGGACAATTTGAAGTATGAGGACTGCCTAATTTTCCTTGACATTTTTAGATGATGTTCTTGGCCAATAAAATTCCATCTAAAATATCTTCTTGACGGTAATCGACCAAAGTATTGCATTTTGTTCAAATTCCTTTGCAGAAAATTGTATATAAGAAAACACCGTTTAATTTTTCGGCTCTTTTCCACTTTCCCCCCACCTTTCAAAATACCGAGTTTTATGTTTGTTTTACGTGTTATTACGGCTAAATGCGTGATGTTACGCTGTTAAGTATGAAGAACAAATCTGTTCAGAATTGTTGATTTGGTCACCACGCCAAATTTCATTGCATTATGACAACGTAATACGCTTTTTAAAATTGAATTTGAAAGGTGGGGGGAAACTGGAAAAGAGCCAATTTTTCAAACACTAGTAAATTTTGAATTCGTCGAGCAGAAGAAAAATTTGAACCAAAATTAGTCACTTCAGGTACTATTTTTAGGAAAATTTGACCCAGGATAAAGTTGGAACGAGTATAATTCGACAGAAGAAATTTCACTTTAATGAGATTGACCGACGACGAGCATTCCTGTCGAACTCGATCAAGTTTTGGGGTGTGGGAAAGTTCTTATCATTTGTTTTATGATTACAACAAGTTTCAAAACTTTTGCTTTTTAAAATGATTTACATATTTTTCGGCTAAATGCGTGATGTTATCATGTGATCTATTACTTGCTTCACTTGAAAAATTAAAAGGAAGCAAAACCGAGCTTAGGAATATTGTTTAGAAAATGAATGCAGCAGTCTATAGCGTCTTTTAAGGAGATTTACAAGATATGCTTAGTGAAAAAATAGCACAGGTGAAAAGTTTTCAAAAAACTAGTTAAACGTTTCACACAAAGAGATTGACCTTGAAATTTTTCTAAATGCGCCTTCAGCGCCAGTCTATACATATTTTGAGGGGGGAGCGCGCGCCGAAAAATATGTATAGACTTTTTCGGAAATTTACTATATGAAAACTTATTTAAAATGACTTTTCTTCTTTTAAACTGCGTTAAAACTTATCAGTGTGAACAGGTGATTTTGATTTTTTCGGAAATTTACTTTATGGAAATTTTTTCAGAAATTTACTATATGAAAACTTATTTAAAATGACTTGTCGTCTTTTAAACTGCGTTAAAACTTATCAGTGTGAACAGGTTTACAACATTTACAAATTTTTACAACAATTCCTCCATGCAAAATGCCGTGTGAACAATTTTTGAACAGTTTTATTTTGAAAATTTACGAGGGGGGTGGGAAACTGGAAAAGAGCCAAATTTTCCAAAAAGTGCCTATAAACGCCTTTTTTTGACGTTTTTTTCAAAAATTTGCCTGCTGCGCAGAAAATTTGGTGAAATTAGGGTCTTTATAGTGGTTTGGGAAAGCTCACAAATTTAATTTGGTTGACCTAAAAAGGTCGACAAAAATTTCATTTTTTTTGTAAATCCGCCCCCTTTCGAGAAATTCCTAGATCCGCGCCTGGTTTTTATTACAGTTTCTTGCAGGTTTTGATATTTTAGTCAGCGGTCTTAACAATAATCGGCTCCTTACCAGTTTTGATTTTTTCAGAAACTCAAAATTTTTGGAAAATCCCTTTTTTCGATTTTTTAGGAAATTCACATTACACAAGTCAATTTAAAGTTACTTTTGATGTTCTAAACTGTAATAAAACTATCAGCATAAACATGTGAACAATTTGTGAAAACATTCGTTACCTGCAATTTAGTATTTGAACAGTTTCTAAAATCTTAATTTGTAATTTTATAAGGGGGATGGGAAACTGGAAAACAGCCCGATAATCAAGCAAAAAACGTTTTACCATAAATTTTGCGAAACGAAAAAATTTTAACTAACAAAATTTCTGAAAAAATTACGGCTGCAATAGTGGTACCACTTGAAAGTTGTGGACGCAAAAAAAGGCCTTGAGTCGCAAAAAAATATCTTCGCTCAACACAAAAGAACTGTCAGGAATGAGGTTAAATAAGAGAAACTGACTATGCTTAGACATGCTAAATGGTCGGATCAATTGACCGATTGAATTTTATTTCGTATGAGTATCGAGAAAAATTTTGAAAAAGAAAAAAAAATCAAATTTTATAAAAAAAAAATTCGATTCTATAATTTTTTTGTAAACTTTTGTTTGGGCGACCATTGCCTCATCAGAAAGCGAATTATCAGGGTTGATGCTCTAGCCTTGGATCTGGATATTAAATACTGCTCTCCGCAGCACCATAATATTGTGTGCAAAACACTTTTCATCCTTTGAGGACAGAAAAAAGTAGCTTTATTTGCCTCAAATTTATTGATTCTTTTTCACTTTGATTGTAATTTTTGAGCTTTGATATTGTAAGTTTTGGCCTTCCTCATTCGTTGGAGAATCTGTTTATGATTTCATATCATCCAAACTACTTTCAAGTGTTTATAAACATGTCTCAAGAATCTATTGAGCTTTATCCCCCCAAGCGAGAATGGGGAGGGGGGGGGGGAGGGGGGGGGAGAGGTTGCTCAATTGATCCAGATGGCCTTTCATAGATCCTGTGCAAATCGCAGAAACTACAATTAATCATTTTTATCGTTATTTAAGGGGACAAAAACTTTGAATGGTATATTCAACTTTTGTTCACCAAACTATAAACAACAAAGTTAAAAAACAAACTTAAAGGCTTATTTGCAAACAAACAAAAGTTTGGCTCGTGACATTTTTCTTGGTCCTGTGCATCACCAGAAAAGTTTTTTGAATTTGTCAAATTTTGTCGTTTTATCAGCACCGTCCGTATCCATGACTACATCTACAATTTGCAATATCATTATGACAAGTGGAACAACAACTGGTTGAATAAGAGCCGCAGCCCCCACCGACTCCTCCGGATCCACAGCCGGCATTACTGGTCCAACAGCAGACCGGGGATGTCGGGATGCCCGGTTTGACCATTCCGCACTTGGGCCGAACTCTGGGACAGATGCAGACTCTCAGCTTACAAGTGCATCCGGGAGGTCGAAAGTAGAAAGTGTCGGAATCGGCGCACGGATCGTTGCCCATTTTTGGATTTCTTCCAAAATCAACGGGGGTATTGGGTAAAAAACGCTAGGTATAGTAAAAACAGAGAAGTTTCGGCAAAAAATAAGTAGTTAGGAGGTTTTATTGGGTTTAACAAATGATGATTTTACTGGGGTCGCTTAGTCTTCTCAAGAATCTTGGGATCGTTCAACTTTGGTTGATCTTGTATCTTTCGTCGGTTGCTTTGATCTTGAATTTGAAAACTAAACTTGGACGCGGAATTGGTTTTGTTGAGAAAATTGCCCTGAGTTGCAGCTGAGTCTAAAACAGCACGTGGAAATTGTGAGTTTTCAATTGGTATGTTCATTTTAAAATGCAAAAGTTATATTTGTGAGTCATATTCAAAAGGATTGCTCTTTTCGATTGGCTAGATAAACATTCTTTTAAAATCTAAGCCACAAAAGTGAAAATAAATTAAAGTCAAGCTTTTTTCGGCTCTTTTTCCTTTACCCATCACCTGCAATTTTTTACAAGCAAAATTACGGTTCCCACCAACCGATTAACAAGAAAATTGGGCTCTTTTCCAGTTCCCCCCTTCAAATTAATTTTTGAAAACCTTATTTAACGTTGTCATAATGCAATGAAATTTGGCATGGTGAACAAATTGACAATTATGAACAGATTTGTTCTTCATACATTACAGCGTAACATCACGCATTTAGCCGTAATAACACGTAAAACAAACATAAAAATCGATATTTTGAAAGGTGGGGGGAAAGTGGAAAAGAGCCGAGAATTGGCATGCGGACTAATCGGGCCATGACAAACATCATTGGTCTGCATAATTAACCTTGTAAAACCACTCATTACATCATAAAATTGATGCTCATACGAGGTGGGGGAAAAGGAAAAAGAGCCCTCTTTTCCGCTGCCCATACAGATTTCAAAACTTTTATTGCTCCGACTACTGAAGGGAGGAGCTATGCCTCCGATGTTTTAGTTTTCTATATTTCTTAGAAAATTTCAACGCAAGTTATCAGTTCTCACAAATAATCATTAGAACGCGTCAAGCTATATATCAAATTACAACCTTTAGTCTTTATTTGAAATCATTTTTAAAATTTTCAAAAAAGTTAGAAAATGTTGAAATAAAATCTTTACATTTTTTCCATCTATCATTGAGTGAGTAAAGCCAGAAAATAGGAGTGCTTTGATAGCAACAATTTTTTTTAAGATCTAAATTTTTTTCCGAGAAAAATTGTTTTTGAAATTGTTTTTGAAAAAAGTCTTTTAAATTCGTTACAAACTCTGCAAAATTTTTGGAAAAGCTCAGGAAACCGGTTTTTTAATTTTTTTTGAATTTTTTTTCGAAGACAATTGTCCGTTTTTCAGATGGACAATTATCCATAGAAATTTTACGAAATAACAAACCCTTTTTGTTCTCAGACACAATTGCATACATTATATGACAGCTCTGTAAAATTGATGTATTTTGATGCACAACAAAGGCATGTGGGGAAACGGTAGAAAAGCCAAAATCGCATTGTATTTTCTTGTTGTTTCAACTTATTGAAAACTGGAAAATTTGATTTTGTAAAAAATTGGGATTTTTTGACGAATTCATTGGTAATTATCTCTATTTGATATTTGCAAATGATGAAACTAAAATTATATACGTGAAAATGAACAAATATATTTTGATTCGACCATTTTCTAGAGTATTTTCCCCTGATTTAGCACAGCTAACTCCAAACTCATAATTGATCAAATGCGGTATTATCTAAAAGCCCTTTCGATCGCGATTGAAGATACTTCGAAACAAAAGTTAAAAGCTTTCATAATTGCATAATTGTATAATGTTACCACTGAGACTACTTAACCGCCAAGTAAATCAAATAACATGAAAAACATGAAATAAACAATTGGTTATTTGATTGTCGCAAAAAAGTCTGTGGACTAAGATATTTCAGACTTTAAAAGTAAATAACCCTTTTACCTGTTTATTCAAAGGAGTATCAATTTCATAGCTCTAGCAAAAGTTTTTAGTGCCATTTGTACGATGTCAATTTGCTTACATTATCTTTCAACCTTAAGTGCTGTTCTCTTTTCTTTTTTCATCTTCGGCACGAGAGAACAGTACTTAAGGTTGAAAGATTATGTAAGCAAATTGACATCGTACAAAGCGTATCGGATAAGGAAATGAGCAAAAATGTTTGTTGGTGAAGTGTTTTTGGCTAAATTTTATAACATTTTGACCTAACAAAATTACAAAAAATGGTTGATGCTGAATTGAACAATTTAATCAAATCTTTGACAAAACCTAAAAATTAACTTTATTACCAAAAAACTTTCCGTTTTAGCATCCCATTCAAGTCTTTTTTCTTTTTTCATCTTCGGCACGAAAGACTTGAATGGGATGCTAAAACGGAAAGTTTTTTTGGCAACAGAGTTAATTTTTAGGTTTTGTCAAAGATTCGATTAAATTGTTTAATTCAGCATCAACCACTTTTTTGTTAGATCAAACTGTTATGAAATCTAGCCAAAAACACTTCACCAACAAACAGTTTTGCTCATATCATTATCCAGTATAAATTAGATTTTTTTCAACAAAATTACTCATCTCATTTGTGTGATAATTCACACAGGCGAATCGGAGCTTCGCACCACTTGCGATTTAAAAAAAAAAAAAAAACATAAGAGTCGAAAAAAGCAAATTTTATCACATGTCTCGATAGAAGTTCATTCCAGGTAAACATGCTAGACACTTGAATTTTAAAACGGCAACAAGGGAACAAATAAGCAACTAATGAAAAAAAAGCCGACTATCTTTGAGCAGACCCAAGTTTAGTCGAAAAAAAATCTAATTTGGTAAAAAAAAAGAAGTTTAAAGTAGCACCTTAAATAACAATGGACATCACTTGCACAGGCAACTACAAAGAAAATTGTTTACAGCAAAAGAAAAATCAGTGATGAGTCAACTAAGCCAACAATCATTGAGCTGAAACCACTTGAACAGAAGAAAAATGAGTTTTTGATTTCTTTAAAAATCTTCCAAGTCCCCTTGAAACTAGAATGAACATCACTTCCACTTGCAATTACAAAAAAAATTGCTTACAGTGATGTGGCAACTAAGACAATCTTTGAGCAGACAATCTTTGAGCAGACACCAACTGAACCGAAAAAAAAAGATTCTATGAAAAAATTCTTCTAAATCTTTCAAGTCAACCCCTGAATTTAGAATGAACATCACTTCCGCTTGCAATTACAAGAAAAAATTGCTTACAGTGATGTGGCAACTAAGACAATCTTTGAGCAGACACCAACTGAACCGAAAAAAAAATTCTATGAAAAAAATTCTTCTAAATCTTTCAAGTCAACCCCTGAATTTAGAATGAACAACATTTGTACTTGTAACTACAAGAAAAATTGTCTACAGCATAAGCAAAATCCGTTGTGGCATATTTACAATAAAACTTTCTGGGATTTTTTGAAATCAAATTCCTCGATATTGAAAAAATACGACTCGAACCCAAGAACTTAGGGTACAAGAACAATTTATTTACCTTCAGGCCAAGGGAGAAGCAACCTGGAAGATGTTTAGAGAAGAAAAGTGGAAAGAAGTCAACTGCAGTCAGCAAGTGATTCAACTAATTTTGTTAAACTAAATATTAACTAGGAAAAAAGTATATATTATAGTTTGATAACGCATGCTAATCGCAAGCGTAAAAAGTACTATTAAGTTCTTACAGTCTAAGTTGAGAAACCTATTTTGAAAAGACTGATTTGTCCAATAGTTTCAGTTTCGTTAAAATTATTCATTAAAAAATTATCGATAACGTTCTAATCTCTGTATGCATTTGCAGGTTATTACATTTTTTAAATCACAATATTCTTTAGATTTTTTTGTAACATCTTGAATGGTCCTTTTGTTGAATGTTTCTTTTTATAAGGCTATCAGATCGTAAGCCCAAAAGTTTTCTTATGTTTGTCTAGTCCAATTTACTTCGTTTTTTTCTGGTGATTTTTCACATTGAAAAAAAAATAGCTTCTACAGATAACTGTAACACATAGCTGATGGTGCACCTTGATACATCATTTTTGAATCCTTTTGTCGGTTCTTTGCTCTTATATCAATTTTTTTCCAGTGTAAAAAAGCTCGGGTTCGAGTGTCCTGAAAACTCAATTTGAAATCTTTGAATTGCTTTCTCAAACAAATTAAACAATTTCGATGATCAGAATCATTTAATACAGAAGCAGACTATTGGACAAAAAAATGACCTTGGTAAAAACCAATTTTCTTTATAACACCGGGAGCCAAAATGGCAGGTGTGCTGTAAATTATTCATTAATGATTAAACGTTTTATTAATTAGTAAAGCAATTAAATCGATCTAGTCCAAGCAAAATCAAGCTTAAGCAAATCAAATACTGATACTCAAATATAATAAATATTGAGCCTTAAAAATATAATTAATTTACTGCACTATAATTTCTTTCCTGGTATTTTGTGATGATTTTCAGAGTTCTGATTTTGATCGGCACTCAAACTGTTCGCGTGATCTCGCAAGCACTGGGCGAATGTGTTCAGAGCTTTGACCATAGAGAGATCAACAAGTGTTTGGAACAACATACCCTAAAAACAATTATAAATTTAACCGTAATCGAATTTATTCTCTTTGCTCAACTTTTTTCCGTTTTCTTAATTACAATTCATAATCAAACATTTGACTTAAAACCCAATAACTTTTTGACAATTTTGAAATGAAATGCAATGGATTTATTCAAAAGTGAACAAAAACATCATACTAATTAAATGCAAGAGCTTACTTTGAAATTAATGGAAGCTAATTGCGTCATCACACAACTATCTTCATCGATTTTCTCTATTTTGACGGCAAGAATTGACTGTTCCCCTCTGAAATAAAGAACAATTTCATTTGTGTAAAAAAAAAAACAGTTATCAAAAGCTTTAAAAAAACTGGAAGTAAATATCTTAGAACATTTTACGCTTTGCACAAAAAATTGCCCGATGACATAACGATGCTCATAAGTCAAGTATTAACAATTCGACATAAGAACAATTTTGAAGCATTTTTGGTAAAGTTTTGGTATAAATGATAGACACTTATTTTGAACCGGACAAAAACTATCGTCCTAAGTATTGATTTAGAAAAAAAAAGAGTAAAAAACTGAGCCGAAACTGATTGATCGTCGAAACTATCTCTAAAACTATAAAAATGTGTATAAATTGCTCCAAAATAATTCAGGAATTTCGATAATACCAAGAAAACATGTAGGAGATGAAGAGAAATTTGCACCCTCATTTGTGCTGAAAAAAAAACACTACTAACAATCCTTTAGGAAAAACATGAGAACGCAACTTAGTTTAAATTTCTATTCTAGTCAGTTTGATAACGCCCAAAAAATTGTTGGTGCGTCGTATATTCTTTTTTTCCTCAAAAGCTAAAATCTGATAACAATTTCAACTAAGATATCAACAGAAAAAAAACATGATCGCTGCTTTACCTGACACATTTTTTGAGCGGAGGACAGGCGACGACATCAGCACCAGTTCCAACATACAATGCGTGATCTTGTCCTTTCTCCATCAAAAAACAAGTGCAGAAGTCCCTGAAAACCATGGAAAAGATAGAAACAGCATCAACTAGCATCTTGGGGCTAATTTAGGAGGAACAGGGGTGGGGCGGTCGCCTCCTTCCCCCACCCCAGTGATTCGATCCCCTCGCCAACCAAAGGTTCCCCCTTTGGTATTATTTTATGACATCCATTTTTGGTGACCAAACAAAAAGTTTTCTAAAGGCGTCTATGGTGCCAATATGTAATAACTCTGAATGGGAGCACGTTACTGTGTTCTTTAAATGCTCAAGTCTTCCAATATATTTGGTCATGGTGATTTGAAATTAAAAATTGTCTGATATGCGTTGAAAACAGTTCATTATTCTAATAAATGTAACTATGACAACCCGAGTTGAGCTCAGTACAAGAAAAACGCTTATCATAAAATTCGCTACAATAACTAATGAACATATTGTTTCTAATACAACTTCCATACACTTTTCGAAAATGTTTATACCACCTTCTAAACAAAATTTTTGTGTTTTGACGACATTGAAATTTTCTGGTCGTTTAAAACATAAAACAACTTCTCTGTTCAGATAAAAAAAGCTGAACATACAATTTCCATCTATCAAAACTGTATGAAAAGCAATTTTTCCATGTTAACTTAAATCAAAAAATTTTGGGTACTTTTCAAAGAGCTGATTGATGTTTTTCGTTAAATGAAAGTAATAAAAGCGCGCTCGAAGAATAATACACTTTTTCCACAACAGAATCTTAAAAAATCTAGTAAAATAGTTTTTAGATACTTTAAAAATATTTTGAAGTCGCTTTCTGTTAAGAGAGCACAAAATCATCAAAAAGAAAAAATATTATTTTCAAAAATTGTTAAACATAGTTTTCAGTTAGTTTGAAATCAGTTTCACACCAGTTTTCGTTAAACGTCAGCATTTTGGAGATCAAAATAAGGATTCTATTAATTTTATAGAGAAGACGCTGTTGATACAAAATCCACTCGTTAAAATTATGTATACATCATTTTCACGTGACTACAACCAAAAGTTTCAAGTAAACTATCCAAAATTAAGGAAAATTTTAGTGTTTTTGTCTAAAAATCACTTTTATGCTCAGGCGACCAATTTCCGAAAAACTTTTCCCTTGCGTTAAAAATTAAGACAAAAAATCACATCGATTAAACTGAAAAAAAAGTAAACAGAAAAAAAAACAGACAGTTTTTTTCCAAAAAAACCTCAACTTTCTAATTTCAAAGAAAAAATAGATGCTTTTCAAGCTCTCAGAGTTTTTGGAACAATTTATGAATGCCACCTTTTCGATAAAAACTAAAACAACTTAGGAAAACTAGAATAAAATTAAAATCCACTTTCAAAACTAGATTTTGTGATGTTTACATTTTTGCTGTTCGATAGTGGAGTTTGCCATCCTTTTAACAAAGGAAAACACTGAAATTAAAAAGAAATCAAAAGTCAAACCGCGAGAAAAATTTCAGTCTGAACACATGTTAAGACTTTTTAAAAGAAAAAAAGAAAAAATCATCCTGACTTATATAAGAGTCTGAACTACGTTCATTTACTCTCAATTGAAGGAAAAACGCATAAAAAGTCATACAATTCTGTTTGTGGCAAAAATGCGAGTCATACAGTTTCAATTACGGTTTAAGACTCCAAACAATTTCATTTAAGCAAAAATTCAATTTTCATACATTTTTTTTTCAATGGAATAGTATGATAAGCATTTTTCTCATTCTATGGTTTTATTGCAATCAACTTCTGTCAACACGAAAACTTTTAAGATTTATTTAATCATTGATTCAAGCAATTTCTTGGAAAACGGATCAAAATTTCTATTTTGAAGTCTACTGTTTTGAAGCCGACAAAAAATTATTGAAATTTTTTGAACGTTTTGCAGCTTCCAAATTTTGAAGAAAAAAGTTTATCAAGTCGAGCCGCAAAAAATCGTCAAATTTGAGCGTGAACAAAATTTAAGACTTTTCCCAGAAAAACAAAGCAAAAAACTCATCACGACCTATATAAGTGACAATTATATAAGCACTTTTTGGCCTGAACTTTCAATCATTATGCTGGACTTCCTTTTAAAAGATTTGTTAGACTCCTTTTTTCCTTGACTTATTTTTTATGTAACGAAGCCAAACTATGTTTTTTTTGTGAGTTTGTAAGCGGATTCCGCAACAAGGACGCTCTCTTTCATCTTCTTTTGTTCTTTCGCCTTCTTTGATCGTTCAGACAAAATTTTAGCATGTTTAAAGACTTGTCTCTGGATTTCAGAGACCTACACGCACGAAATTGTGCGCCTACTCAGTGCACAGTTTGGCCTTGTAATGTATTTTGATCAAAATAATAAAAAAAAAGAATTCAGTACCGTTTGGAGATCATACGTGACACGGAATCCGACATTCTCATGTATGCCACCCAAGCTGAGCGCTCTTTAGTGGGATCCAGGGTAGTTTCAATCGAATCCAGGGGCGAGGAGAGGTCCATCACAAGCTCGCATGTCTCACATGTGTCGTTCCAACTAGGGCAAGAGGGGTAGTCCAGAAGAACGTCAAGTGCTCTGGCCCAGTTTTGGTTCATCACACACTAGAATAAATACTGATGTTGAATATGCTATAGCACTTACTCTAGAGCTTCCGCAAAAAAAAACATGTTATAGCGGAAAATTTTTGATTAGGTGAGTTTTTTGAAATTTTTCTTGACCTTTTGTGGTCAACCAATTCGAGCACTGTCAAAACCAGCTGTATTTCGAGCTTGGTCAGAACTAGTAGCAGGCCGAGGGGTAGGGGTACGGGGAGGGCGACTGCCCTTTTTCCCTTAATTCTGGTTGCCATATTTTTACGAGATCCATTTTTGATATAACTAAATTTGAAGGAGGGGGAAGGGGGCTTTTTGGTCAAATTTTTAAAAGTGCTCAAAACGTCATTTTTAGCCTGTTGTTCTTAGCCTGTGCTCATAACTTCATTTTTGATAGGGTTCTTTGGTATCAAAAATCAAAAAAGAGCTCAGAAAACCAAATTTGTCGACCTAAAAAAAGTCGACAAAACTCTCATTTTTTCCCCGAAAAATCGCCTCCTCCTAGAGAAATTTCTGCGCACGCCACTGGTGAGAACCCAAGACTTACTGCCAAATTATGATCACTTATTTGGCCGAATTATGCTCATTAGTGGAAAGTTCCGTTTTTCAGCATTTTTTGGAACAATTGACCAAAAATCGCATTACTTGCCGAGCGATACCACTTTAAATTGCTCTAAAAATGTTTGGGTTGGTCAGCTTAAAATGAAGAGAAATAGTACCAATGCCGGAACTTTTTGGAAAACTTTGGAACTCAGAGCTGGAAGAGATGCTGAGTTTACGAAGGGGGGGGGGGGGGGGGGAGGAGGATTGGAGCACGCCTGGGACTGTACTTTTGATTTTTCGGTCTCTTTCGCAGAAACCTTAAAGAATCAACTTATATTGAAACAATTTTCTGCATCACAATTTTGAATTCTTTAACACAAGCAGACCTCTGAAGCGATTGCATATTTGAGCTCAAAGCAGCTCTGAAAACTTTAGAGTCAGTTAAGCAAAACAAGATGATTCAATTTAGCAACTAGAATTGATTATGGGTAGGAGACTACTTGACCTTGACTTTGAAAATGGTGAGGTTGAGTGACTCGCAGTAAGTGCTGCTGATCTGGATGAACTCTGACTCTTTGGCCACTTTCCACTCGGTCGACTCAGAGTACAAGTCCTCCGATATCTTCCAGTAGTCTTTCGCTTTCTCCAGTGCCCGACGCTCCTTAAAAGAGGATGTTATTCTTATAAAAGACGGATTGGTGAAATGATTTGCTTCAAGACTTTGGCTAGTTTGAGGTCAACCATGATTCGTGCTCGCTGCTTGAGGGTCAAATGACATTGTCGAGCCCAGAAAATTAGCCCCAAAATGCGTGTAATTCTTAACTAAGAGCAAGAGCTGCTCTCCATTAAGATATGGACAACTTATATATAGACCCTTTGTCTCGAGGATAAAGAGGCTTATTCTCAGACTAATTTGTACTGGGAATAAAATCTAACTAGAAATCAGCTCTGGGAGTTTTCAAGATAACGTTCAAGGTAGATTTTTATATTTTTCTGACGCATGACGTCATTAAATTAAATGATATCTCTTTGAATTTACATAAATCTCACAGTATGGAATTGGACATATGACCACCATCAGCTGACCAAGTCTTAACAGGCCTCGCTACAAATAATGTTGCGTTGAGTTAAACTTGCAACTCCAACATGTTAAAAACAATAATTGTTTTTACCCTATCTTGTCTATAGAAAAGAGTGTATTTGTTGCGCGGAAAGATTAAATAGGGGTGAAAAAGTAATGGGGTAAAACGACGCGGTGTTAAAAGACGGAGGTTGTAAACAAAAAGAAACAATTAAACTACCTCAAAACTTTATTGGCCTTGAATGGTTCAATCCACATGCTAAGGTCCCGTGAACAGTCAACACTGGTTGGAAAAATAACGTGAAAAACTTACGTCATCCTGAAGATTTTCAGAAGTTCTTGGAGACAAAGGCCATTCTTGCGTCTGATTCACTTTCGTCTGTTTTCCACTATCACTTTTAACTTCTGTCATTTTAGGAAGAAAACGTAAAGCAAAACTAATTTTCTGTCAAAAATCTTTTTTTTTAAATGAACAACTTTTCAGCAGATTTTTACTGCTTCTGTAGATGTTAAGCTAGTAAAATCATTGTTTGCAACTAGTTGTTTTATATAAAGTAAATTGAAGTGTTTATATTTTTCTGATATGAGCCAAATCTTATTTAGAATTATACACGCTGTTAGTCTATGCTTCGATCGAATGTATATTTACACGAGAAAAAAATAGTCAAAAATTTAAGATCGTCCAAATATGCGCACAGTTAAAATGAAGGTCTGACTCGTTTAATCGACGGAAAATGGAACCGAGCTGAATTTGAGAAGAAACCGATTTTGATAAGAAACAGTTTTGAAGAAACATATCACGCAACTTTATGAGACATAAACACATATTCAAGTTTAATTAAGAGGCTGGTCTTAGCTCTAGATAAAAACATCTAGATTATGGGTTTTGAGTCAATATCGATTACTGCCAAATTTGACAAGTAATTTCCGTGCACGACGATTCTGGTTATTAATTTTCAGCTAAATGGGTTATTAAAACCATACATATGTTAACATCGCATTCAACTGATAGTATTCAAAAGGTTTTGCTCATAACGCAGACAAAGCTTATGAAAACAAAGATAGCCGGTTACTGAGCAAGTATTACAGAATGTTCCGACCATAGTTTTAGAAAACACAACGAAAAAGTTTTTCAAATTATTTTCGCATATTGGACAGCCATAAGGAAAAATGCGAGATACATTAAGTTGGAAAGTTTTGAAGTCGAGCTTTTTATCTTTGTACTGCTGTTTGAAACAAATAATTTTTTCGGTTCATTTGATGAATTAAAAACGCATCAAATGAACCGAAAAATGATATTTATCAAATGTCAAAGCACATATGACATTATATATTCATATTCATACACTTTGCTTCGCTAGTATAAATAAACTATTTTAAGCCTGCCCTGCTCGCTCTCTCTAAGGTAGACTAGAAAAAAAGAAAAATTTCAAACCCGTTTTTCTCGAAACTGAGAAAATTTATCATGATTTTTAAAGCCTGAAAGGGCTTTAAACTAATATGAAAGGGCTTTAAACTAATATATCACTCAATTCTCTCCAATAACAGTTTGTGGTAGCTGATTTTGCGTGCAAAACAAAAATGAAGGAGTAAAAAAATCAATATGTAATCACAACCACTCGGCTACGAGTACAAGCTGCAATGAAGATACCCTCAAGATACCCGAAATGAAGGGTCGACGGTCAATAAGCAGAATGGTCTCAAGGCAAAAAAAAACAGACAAATTGATTAACTGATAAAATAAGCATTCGATGCGGTCAATAGTACCAAGGAAAAAGAGAATAAATTATACATCAAATTAGTAATTTCGTCAAGTTTTTGTTCCGACCATTTGAAAAATGGGGAGCAATTTTGTATTCGGGTGTTTTAGTTTTTTTCTTTGTTTTCCAGGCAGAATCAGGTACCACAAATAATTATTGGAATGTGTCAAATGATATACTATATTAAAGTCCTTTCAACCGTGATTCGAACGACATTAAGAAATTTCAAAAATTTTTGACAGCGACGAAAAAAAACGGTTTGAAATTTTTGGAGTAATTTCGAACTTATATGGTGTGAGCCCATAGGCTTACAAAATCTTATCTAAGCTCACTTAAAGCCGTAAAAACGTAGTTGTACTCAAATGAAAGTAGTTTATGGAGTTTTTTAGCGCCAGTTGGTAAACAAAGGTTAGAAATTCCAAAAAGTTCAGCAAACAATTTTGAAACCAATTTGAATTTTTTTACATTTTTTTTTTCGTTTTTCTTGCCAAATTTCTTCAAAAACTGTTTAAAGAATGCTTTGTTTAATGAGCTGTCAAATATGCCTAAGTTTTTTCCGATCACACGTTTTTATCACACCATGCGGAAAAAAAAACGAAAGTAATTTGAATAAGTTTGAAATGACAAAAATCTGTCTTTGTATTTTTCTGAGACTGTGGTCGGAACAATCTGTGGTACTTGCACAGTAACCGGCAATCCTTGTTTTTAATTAATTTTTTTAAAAATCTGGATCAAATTACTCATTTTGCGTATGATTTCAACGCTTCTCTGGTAATATTGACAATTCTAATATTAATTTGCCGATTAGTTTATAAAACTATTATTTTTCTAATTTTCTGCGCTTGGACACACTCTGCCCTAAGACCATTCTACTCATGCTCCGCCTTCCCTTAATGGAAATTGTATTAGGTTGATACAATATTTCGTTGATACAACATTTTGAAAGGTGAGATTCACATCAGAAAAACGTAAATTAAACAAGTCATTTGCTCTCGCTAGTGAAAAATAACACATTGAAATCGGATTCATACTTTCGTTTAAAACCATAATAGCTAAAAACAACCAGTTCAGCCACTTAGTTATATAGATTTGGAAAAAAAATTTACGTTGAAAGACTAGGGATCCTAGCTGATATAGCTTCGACCATAGACAACCAAAGATAAATTGAAAAAAAAAAAACGGAATAGTTTTGCTCGAGGGTTTTTATCTCCAGGAAAATTTCAACTCTTTAACTAGCAATTTTTATTTCATCAGAAAGACATTGTTGTCTTGAGCTCACATTCAAAAAGATGTTTCACCAGTAATAATTTTTTTAAAGCTATTGGTGTTCAAAGATTGCCAATTAAGGACAATTTACACGCGATAACTTCGTGCTATCAACGCAACGCATAAGCAGCTAGTTCATCAGCTCATAAATTGTTTCAAATTCATTTGAAGCATGCTATTCGATCTATTTGATACTTTGCTAGATGCTAAATCTATCACTTTTTAATTTTTATAGCGCCTGGGGATTGATTTTCAAAAATCTCAAAAAATATTAAATTTTTTTAAAATAGCCACAGACAGTTGGAAAAGAGATGAAACAATAAACGCAAGTAAACAGAAAGAAATATAGGATAATCTCAATTTTCGAATTTGTGAGAAAAAGATAGAAATTCAAAGAGCATTGAGGCCATCTATTTTTCTCAAATTCGAAAATTGAAATTATCTTATATTACTTTCTGTTTACTTGGGTTCATTATTTTAAGACAAAAAAAAATCAGAAAAATTTCAATTGCAGAAGAAGATTTCAATGCCTCTCAAAAAACGATTGGTGAAATTTCATATCAAAATAAGCAGCCGTAAACCTTCAAACAACTAGGTTCTAAACTAATTTCAATTGCAGAAGAAGATTTCAATGCCTCTAAGAACTTTCTAAGAACTTAACTTAATCTAGTTGAAGAAAGCGGATATTACTTTTTTTAGTCCATTAGTTTTATACAAACTGATCCTTACAAACAAATACGTGCTGTTTTTGACCAAAAAATTGAAAGAATTTTAAAAAATGAAGATTAATTCGTTCATTGATACTCAAAAAGTTTCCTAGATTTTTGAATCTACCGAATACACTGATTAGATTAGTAATACTTTCTTCGACTATTGTAGTCTTTCTTGCCCGACATTTGATTGTATTCTGGTGTTTTAGTTTTCTTTTCTTTTTTCCACGCAAAATTAGGTACCACAAACAATCATTGGAACGGGTCGAGTGATAAATCAATTTAAAACCCTTTGAGTCGTGATTAGAATGACATTTTGAAAAATCCAAAAAATTTTTTTCAAGTCTGGAAAAACCGGTTTGAAGTTTTTGGTTTTTCATCTAACTTCGAGCGAGAAAAGCAAGCGATCATGGTTATTTATGCTTAATTTCGGCCGTTTCTAAATGCTTATTTATGCTTTATTTTAGTTTTACTAGAGTATAAATAATATTTGGAGTTAAATTGAAACATCAAAAACTTCTAACTCAAAATTTTCAGCAAAACAGACCAAAATTTTTTTTATTTTATTTTCGTTCTTTTCTTTCAATAAATGTTGTCCAGTTTGCCTGCTTTACTATGACTGTCGAATATGCCAAAGTTGTAGTTTCTTGTTCAGACCCTCTTATCAAACCAAGCAGAAATAAACCGACAGTAATTTCAAATAAAGTTTTGCTTTAAAACTATGGTTGAAACATTCAGTGCTACTTGCACATTAACCGGCTATTCTTTTTCAACTAGGTTTCATTTAATGTTTGGATCCTCCGTGGTCTGATTGACTATATCGACATAAACACAAAACCTGCGAAAAGTTTTCCGTAAGTACCAAATCATAGCGAAAACACACGAGCTAATTTGACATTAAGTGCTGTAACCAAAAATTTGAGCAAATATGAAGGTTTTATAGCATGTCCAATTTTTATGATACAGTTGCAGAAAAAGAAGGCGCAATTTTTTGCTTTCAATAAAACAAAAAGAATATTTCGTAGAAAAAAACAGAGGTGAATTGGCAACTTCGTTGCAATAGAGGTGACACTGCAACAAACACAAAAGTGACAATGCAACTTCGCAAATATAGCCAACAATTAGTTCGAAAAAGTCAATGATCGCAAGGAAACAGAAAAAAATGATGTTTTTTGAAGAAAAAAACGTCAATTTTCGAACTTCAGAAAAAAATTACATCGCCTTAAAGCTCTTTAGATTTCAAAGAAACATTATGATTGATACTTTTTTGATGAACTTTACTCAATTTGCAAAAATCTGAAAAAACTGAAAAAAATTTAAACTTATTTTCGAACCTAGAAGTCGATACGTTCTTTGTGCCCTTTACAATTGTTTTGTTCGATAAAAGAAATTGCCTTCAAAGAAAAGCAACGGAAATTAAAACACAGTGGCGAAACGTAGCTTCGCTCCACTTTCAATACTTTACAAACATAGCTTTGAGAGATAGCAGATAAAAGATGAAATGAAAGCCAATAATTCGAAAAAACCAGTTGCAGAAATTTTATTATTTGGTCTAGAATGCTGTTTAATTTGAGGAAAACACGACTAGCAACAAAAATTCCGGCGTCGAAAAAACATTTATCGAGTGGCAACTAAACTGTTTAAAAATTTGGAAAAACTCCCGTTGAGTTGAAAACAATATTGTTGTCATGAAGTAATTTTGAGCAACAAAAATCTGAAAAACAATAATTTTTTCTATCTAAATGTTTCTGGAGAAAGAGGCGGAGGCGTAAGAAGTGGGTTTCTCAAAAAACGACGTATGAAAAGCTATTAAGCCGACAAAACATACGCCAAAATCTTTTATGCCGAAAGAAGCTTATAAAAAAATATACAAAGTCTGAGGTAGTAAAGTTACAAATTACAGGGATAACTCATCACTTGCAACTACAAAAAAAACGTTCTGCACAACAAGAAAATCGGATATGGCAACTAAGCGGACAACACAGATAGATTCACAATAATCAGAAAAACGAAAGGCCGAACTTTATGAAACTGATAATTTTCAGTTTGAAAAACACAGGTCCTGCAGGATTCGAACATAGGACCTCAGGCTAAATGGGTCGCAGGTGCCAAGAAATTGAATGTTTCGTTAATCAAGCAATCAA